AGCCTGACTAAGGTCACTCCAAGATTCCAGTGACCTCCATGTTGCTAAGTTTAATGGTGCCCTTACTGGACATTCCGGTGTCACTAAATACCACTTCCTCTTTCTGGAAACACCCCCTCTCCTCTGCTTGCTGCGCCCACCCTTTTCTGGTTTTCTGTCAGTTTTTCTAACTGATCGGCCCTCAGCTCATTGGAGGGCCCAGTGTTCTCTGCTAGTCACTGCAGGCCTGTGGCCTTTCAGACTTGGCGTTAAGCTTCTTCATTCTTATTGTGTACACGTGTCCTGGGGAACCTCACTCACTGTTGTGACTTTGATTCTCATCTACCTGCTGGTGAATCCCAAGTTATATTTCTGTGAGGGGCCTCAGTGCTGGGTCGTTCTGCCTGCTGGACACTCAGTGTGGGCAGCCCTGTGCCAGCGTTAGGTTTAGCATACGTAAAGCTGAGTTCAGCTTGAAAGCAGGATAGAAACTGAGGCTAAAACTGATCTCTGGAGTTCTCCCTGATTTGTTAAACGAACACTGTGTTAATCACCCATGTGTGCAGCGGGGACAGTGGTGGCACCCACCTTGCCAGGGTCATTGTGCAGATTTACCTGCAGAGTCCTCAGAGCAGTGCCGGTGGCTGCAGGGTTCAGAGACTGTTCACAGCACTAGGCCTCACCCTCCTGGGGCACCATGACAGTGGCTGCTGCCACTCCTTCCCTGCTGCCTCCCTCCCCCCCGCAGCGCTCTGCCGGTCGTGGTGGACTACAGCCATGGAAGGCCATGCTGGAGTGCTGCTTGGTCCTTCTGCAGTGCTGTAAAGAAAAAGAAACCTGAGGCTGCAGGGCCAGGCACTGTAGCTCACATCTGTAATCCTAGCACTTTGGGAGGCTGAGACTTGAGCCCAGGAGTTCAAGACCAGCCTGAGCAAGAATAAAACTCCATCTCTAAAACTAGTCAAGCATTTGCCTATAGTTCCAGCTACTTGGGAGGCTGAGGCAAGAAGATCACTTGGGCCCAAGAGTTTGAGATTGCTGTAAGCTGTGGTGCCACAGCATTCTACTGAGGGCAACAAAGACTCTGTCTCAAAAAAAGGGAAGAAACCTGAGGCTGGGTGGTGATTTATTAAAAAAAG